GAGAGAAGAGGAAGTCGGCGAGAGGGAATCATGAACGAGAGCTAGGGCATGGGAAGTTCTTTCTCATGCAGTGGAGGACGGTGACGAGGGCGCAGGTATCATGAAGAGGAGGTTGGCGAAAGGGAATCGTGAGGCAAGGGCATAGGTAAAATCAGGAAAAGGCAAAAGTGGAATGCTGGAAACGGTTTGCAAGCCACGGTCATGATATTAATAAAAACCATCGTTGAGAGTTCAACCACGGTCACCAGAGAACTTGATTCAAACATGTGACATTACAAATCAGTTCAAAACTGAGATTGGAACGCAGAAACAAGAGTACCCTTAATGGCAGTGTGTAGTGAATAAAGTTTCAAAAAACTAGTGGTTTTTTAGATAAGGCTAAAATTAATTGTGATTGATAATGCTTTGTTTTAATTCACATTCAATAACTCTCACCATTAGAAAATTATCCATTGAGACCCTTAACAATGCAAAATTTAATTTAAATATTTTATATATGTTGTATAACCATCATACCTTATGAAACATATCGTGCCAATAGTTTAACATAATGTCAAATATAAATAATTTTGATGAGGCTTTACACTCCTAATGCGCAATGCAAACACAGTCAAGTTTTCAAGATATCACCAAAATCACCAAGTTCACCAGTCAAGCATTAAACATTTGATATAAGCTCAAATAAAACTCACCGAATAAGTTAGCAGAGTTTCAAGAATAGTTTCAACATTTCCTTCTCCTGCAATCAAAGAAAAACATGAAATAACATCATAAGCAATCAAATGATCAATATCACACAAACTAAGTCAATAAAATAACCAACCATTTTCCTTAATGGCCTTTTCAACCATGTCTCCACTGAAACCCATTCCAATGAAATGGGAATATAAACTAGGCTGAGATGGACCTGCCTCGGAAACCTGCAAGGGATTCAAAAAATCAGTCAATATTATTCATGAAATATCCAAAAAATGAATCTACTAAATAAATAGAGGAGGAGATAAGTGTCATTGAGAAAGAAACTAAGCAGTTACAAATGAGCATGGAATGGAATTCATATTCTCATTGGGTGGATTACATTACCTCCCGATAAGGATTTGTTGGTCTTTCCTTATCATCATCATCATCATCAGTCTCCCAACTAAAATTGCTATCATTCTCATCATTATCACCGACCCAATCCTAAATTAATTATGTTAAAACCAAGTAAATTATAGAGCATTTGTTTAATGGATGGAGTGAATTAGAACAACAATAATTGGGGCTAGAAATAACCAACCATTTTTCTCACAAAAGACTTTTAAGCTCAGAAAATTTCCATTGAAACTGCACTACAATAATAAGCAAATAAATTATAAATTAAATATAATAAAATATAAATTAGCATGATCCTCTACAACAATGACTCCCAACAACCCTTCTCTAAGAAAAAATTGATTTTATATGCCCCCTTAGTACAAAAGATTACAAAAATATCACAATAGTTTGCTTTTCTTGGAGAAATATAACTGAAAGTTTATTTCGGACAAAGTTACATCTCTTGTACTTGTTTGCTTTTTGAGCCCATCACAAAAGAAAATAAATCAAACAGATGGAAACCTACCCGAATCAAAAATTGCACATTCACAAAAGCATTGATGAGGATCAAGCCGCCCTTTCTCTCGTTTCTCTCGGCCAAGGCCGCGACGAGAATAACGATTTGAGGCTCCTTGACAGATCTAAAATGGAACAGCAGGAGAGAGAAAGAGAGAGGAGACAAAGCCAAGGCCTCAGGGCAGCTGAACCCCGCCACCTGAGTGCGCGAAGTAGAGGGACGGAGAGAGAAAGGGTTCCAGTGGAACAGCTGGAGATTCTAGGGTTTCGCATATTTGGTGCTTTCGAAGATGGAAGGAGCTAAAAGCGGGGGGGACTTCGCTGCGCAGTGCATACAGCAAAGATGGAAGTAGGGCTGGGCTCCTGCCATTGCAGGCACCATTTCACAAATTGAGTACTGTTTTCTGATTATCTTTAAGGGTTGTGATGGACTGTATATCTTAATCTTTTATATATTTGCTGTTTGTTCCAACACAGATGATATAAATTATAGTGTTGTGGTATTATGATGGTGACATCAATAGAATTCATAAAGAGAATAATGACCCTTGGATATGCATTTGGATATATATAAGTTTATGACACAAATGAGCTCATTTTATTGGTTAAATTGAGCTGTATGATGTGATGTTGTACACATTGATTATGTTTTGTGAATTAGTGTACATTTTAAATATTTAAATATTTTTCTAAAAAAATTAAAAAGTTTTATTGAAAATTAATTTTAGAAATTAATGATTATAATCGGAATTATCATAATTTTATTTAATATTTATTTACTTGAATTTTTTTATAACTACTATTTGATTAAGTCAATTTTAAGTGAAATATGAGTTATTTATAAAGATAAAATAAATAAATAAATATTTGAAAATTATAGCATCATTCTACTAATAGTTATGACTAACTAATTAAACAATTTAAAAACAAGATTTAATAATAATATTTCTTAAAACTATCCACTATCTAAATACAAGTCGAACACGATAAAAGGAAACTACTTTTAAGAAATTAGCATGTTCGTTTAACAAGTTTATCATTAAATTTCTATATATTTATAAATATAATACATTAATTTTTTTATTAACTCAGACAACACAACACGCTCAAATTTATCCCTATCAATGTTACAAAAAAACAAACCAAATATCGAACTTGAATATTCAAGTTTCAAATGTTCAATTGTGGTTGAGTTAAAGGTTGAATTGGATGATGTAATAATATTTAATTTATTTTAAAAAAAATTTAATTAACATGATATTATATATTAATATCATTTTATTGATCCAATAAAAGTATTTTGATATAAGACAATATTTTTGAATATTTTTAACAATATTCTAAAAAAAATTAAACATAATATTTTCTCTATTTTCAATTTAAATATTTTATTTATGGTCATCCAATTAAAGCAATTTGCTAAAATCAAAAAATTCTTGAACCAACCAACCACGATTATCGTTGATATATTGTCTCGCGAGCACCAATCTCAGGCATCACATTCTCCCTTTAAGTATGCACCTCTAACAGTTATAAGGGTAGTGTATGATCATCCTCGGATTATTCTTCAACTTGTTTATTGAACCATATTGAAGAAAATAAGGTCAGATAAAAGAAGTAACATAATTTAAATGGACCTATTCTATGTCCAAAATCATCATGTCTTCAGTTAATACTGAATTATGGTTTAGAACTGAGTCGTAATGTACTCGTTAACCCAACTACTACCAGAAACCAAATATAAGTCTAATCACAATGAGAAGTTAACGAATCACTTCACTCATGACACACAGAGATCAAATCAATCCACTAACAATCCAAACATCCACCAACATCAATCAAACTGATCAATCCACACTAAAACAAACACATTACATCTTAAACAATTATAACTCACAAACACACTAACACAGATAACCTATGTGTTGTATCCCATGAAGTGTTTGGTTTAACGTCATTAGCCCGACGAATCCCAAGGTTATACATATTTTACTTGCACAACACTTTTTTCTTTAGGATATTCTAATCCTCCTAAAAGTTTTCTTTAGTTCTGAGTCGTATAGTTCACGGTCTGCAGTATGTGAACTACATATTCAACCACCGACGAATCCCAAGGTTATACATATTTTACTTGCACGACACTTTTTTCTTTAGAATATTCTAATCCTCCTAAAAGTTTTCTTTAGTTATGAGTCGTATAGTTCACGGTCTCCAGTATGTGAACTACATATTCAACCACAAAGACTTAACGAATTGGACAGATATTCAGTACTTCAAGCACTCAAAAATATTTTTTGTATTTTGGATTTTCTTTTAAATATACTCATAATAAATAAGCACACTAGATAATAACACTACAATTTCCAAATCTAAGTCTTTCATATTCAACTAAAATTCTCCTAAAGTTCTTACTGTAGCTTCCCCGACAAATGTGCAAAAACTTAACCTAATTCTCAGTTACGCAGATATTTAGTATCCTAACAAAAACTTGACCTAGTTTCTTTAGACAGCTAGTGTGCAAAATGAATATGTTATAGAGTTTAGAATTTTATTTATAGTTTACACACTATGGATTTTACACAAGTATACGTATCATTTAAGTAATATAGAGCTCTAATGGAGTCTCAATTATCGATCTCACAAGAAAGTGAGGTAAGAAATCCCTTAGGCTACTACTATCAGGTCTTAGTTTGGAATGTCGATTAAGGGTGTTTTTCTAAAAACTACATACAAACCAAAATCTAAGGTTAAACCTAACTAGATAAATTGGTTTGGTGAATTTTTAGGTGTAAAAAACTATCTCTCTCATGGTGACCAAGATAATGTGTGGGAATGGGATGCTTAAAATCTAATGAGGCAAGTGACAAATGGAGCAAAAATCTAAGTTACCCTTTTCTGAATGTATAACGTAACTCAGTTAACCTAGGATCGATTCATTAAAATAAACAAATTATCACGACGAAGCTTCTAGAATGTCACCCTAGAGTCTCATTCTCCTAATAGCCCTCTAATTGGCTTATTCTTAGATTTAAGGTATGAAACCCTAGATCAAATTGGTTAGGAATCTAATATGACACTCTAGAAACATCAATTTGCACCCATCAATGAATATCTCACTAACATTGCATTAATTCTTAATACTACTTTTCCTTTACCCATAAGTTCAATGTGGTTCCTCATAATTGTTAAAGTAATAACCCTCCCGGAGCTTATGAGTTTACAACAAATTTTAACATACAAATTGGTCAAATTGATCAGTAAATGAAGCATGAAGTAAGAACCATCACTGTGATATGAAAAATGTATTCTAACATGCATCATAACATCCTAAACATTCATCTAATTCATTGCAAAAGAAAAGTACAAGAGTTCTACTTCACAAAGCAGGTGTCACGCACAACAGAAAGCCTCATTAAATCAAAACAAATACACTATATAAGTGTTTACAACAAGTACAAGATAATGAAGAACACAATATTTAGTTTTTTTCCTCTGAAAGAAAGATAAAAATTATCTAACAAAGTCTTTTGTTAATCCATGCAATGGTAATACAATCCCTTACAGTCATCTCTTAAAATCCCCTCATTAATCTCTTCAGAAAAAAAAGAAAAAATTACCTTTTCTACTTCTATTTACGACCTCTCAGACTTTTTGGAGAATTACAGGACTTAGAAATGTCAAAAAGTCCAATCTTTAGTGATTCTCTCGTGAATATATCTCCAAATTTGTGCACAACCGCTGAAGAAATTGTCAATAACAGTTCTAGCGTTTAGGCATGCATCAAATAACACTGGCGCCAGCTTCTCGGGAAGTTTGGCAAAGTCTGACGCCTAGGTGCTCAAATATGACTTCATGGTGCCATGGAGTGGCACTTAAGGGCCATCTTATGGCGCCTAGGCGCCAATTCACCTTTTGCTTCATTCGTCTCCTTTTAACGTCATTTTCATTCCAGTTCGCTCTAAGTATTATACCTGCAAGATAAACATAAAAATAACATTTCTTTAAAGTGTAATTTCATTAAAAAAATATATATGATAAATATAAATGAAATTAAGCATCAAAAAGACATATCACTAATCAAATAGGAGAAGAATCCTTCTTCGTGGGATATGCATATAATGTAAAGTTATCTAAATCATAAGTTGGAGATCCTATTAATATGACTCCTATAATGTGATTCGTTTTTAAATTGGCCTGAAAAAGTCAAGCAAGAAAATAAAAGCTTTTTATACTGAGAATCGGTTAATTCTAAGCCTAAATTTTATTAACATGTATCTTTTAAATTAGGATTTTTATAATAGACTTTATCCCATGAGTCCATGTGTAAACACAATCCCAAATAAACCATAATACAAGAAAAAGAGAAGGCAACACAATGTGCAATATACTAAGAGAAAATAATATAATAAAAAAATGTTAGGTGTCACTGGGTCGACAACATATCCAAAAAAAAACTTCATGTATGCACGCATGATCTTAAGTTTATACAATGAAGAAATAAATAATCAAGGTACGAGGTACGAACATACAACTCTAGTACTCTCCAATCAGTCATTAAGCGTTAAGCTCCTTCGGGACTTGTGCTCGTACTTTAATTTATACCACAAACTTAGCTTATAACTCTAAAAGTATATAACAAAATCTAAAAAAAAAACTCGACTTGTATAATAAATACTCACACAATTTATAAAATGAAACTTAAAATGAGACATGTCCGATAGGAGTAGAGCTTACAATTTTAGCACCCGAAGAAAACACATTTTAGAACTTTTAACTCCGCTTTGAACATGACTAACTGCATATGCCTACACTAATATATATAAAAAAAAAATCAATTATATTTCTCAAATGAAACAAATAATGGGAATATTTCTCCACTTATGAATGTTTTGAGGCTAGTAAAAATCAAAATTTTCCTTCTTTAATATTACATATGACATTCCCCAAATAATTAAAAATATGAAGTTTTACAAAAAGCCTGCACATTTTCTTATATATTTATATGTCCAAACTCTTATATTTACATGCATACCACTCAAATATTTAACGTCATATCAAAAATACTGTTGTTACTGACTTAAGCCATTCAAGTATTTAAAATCACAACAAAAATATTACTATTTCTAACTTTTAAAAGTGAAATACAACTTGTTATGCATATATTTATTACATCAAAATGTTATAAATGTAAATATCAAACTTCATGATTTAGATATGCAAATACATGAGAATTTTGTGGCATGCATGTAAAGTTCTTTGCTTGAAAATGTTTATTAATATATTTTAAAAATTATTAATAATGGTACTTTTTACTTGATTTGAAAAGTTTAGGCATTAAAATTATAAAAATCAAAATTGATGTGCAAGCTATGTAAATACATAGGAATTGTGTGCTATGAATTTTGGTGAGAGTTGAGAAGCT